ATTCGAACTGTGGAGTGTCCATATTTTTCCATATTTTAACTGGCTCAGAAACTATTCCTGGGCACATTTAGAAACGCGGCCGCTAGAATGAAAATAGTTAGCGACACGGAGGGGGGGAGCGGCTGGCGAGAGGAGGTAAAGTGGTGGGGGAACCTCACTTTCAGCGTCTATTATGAAAATGGAGCAATATTTGACCCTGCCGAAACGAGCTCAAACTTTAACATTACTTTCTTATGGGGAATTCTCTGTTATTTGTTATCTGTTATTTCTCTAAAGGTGATACAGCCTAAAGAAACAAGTACCAAATTAATTGTGTTCTTTTTCGTTCTTCTCTGTTGCAGATGTTTTCGGGATGTGATGGTAATGCGGGCACATGAGGCAGAAGCATTTATATGTGATTTTGATTGAGTTATGCACCTATTTTAACCTGTGTGAATGAAACCTCAGTCTTTGTGGTCTGTCATTAAGATATGTTCGTGGCATTTATTAAAATAAGTAGATTTATTTATTCAGAACAGTAAAGACTTTTTACTTTTATGGTGGACATATGACACAAAGAATCTGTTCATCTTTACACAGACTGCTTATGAAATGGTATCTTACATTTATGTGCTTAGTTCTAGCATGAAACAAATAATATTCTGTCAATTTTAAGGCACTCATATTATTACTCAATTCATCAATACATGAGCTACTAATACCTATAGCCATTGTTCCGTTTAGGGTTTGCACTAACAATCAAACATGTCAATTCTTAACAAAAGTTTTTGACAGTATGCAGTTTGATGATCCAGTTTCAAACCATTTATGCTCAAACATGAAGACAGATTCCCTAAATCTTTAGTTTCGAACTAAATTGACACAATAAGTAAAGATCAACAATACAAGTGAAAAAATGCAAGGAGGAAATAGTAGAACCTCTTACATATATATTTAATAGGTCAATGAAAGAAGGAATATTTCCTAGTAAGATCAAATATACTGATATAATTTTGTTTCCATTTTTACAGACAATTAAACACAAGCCTCATAATCAGATTGAGCAGATACAGCTTTTGTTAGTTTACAAACTTTACCCTCCACAAATATCCTCCTTTAAGTCACTACTCAAAAATGCTGTGGAAATGACCCAGTGATGAACTTGCAAATCAAGTTTCACAGACAAAGAAAAAAACAGTCACCTCCATTATCACATCTGAAAAGTCTCACTACCTCAGTACTTTTCCCTTTTGAGTTTCTAATTCAAGAACAAATTCCCTGAATTTGTCCGTAGTGTGACTTTTCTTGGCAATGACATACACTTTTAACAGATCTAGAAAAATCATGCAGAATAGTAAGAAGATATTTTGCACCACCAAAAGTTTCGAGGCGAAAGACCACACAAAAACAGAATGAACAAAATCAAGACTTTCAGAAACTTTGGGAGGAATCGACCTAGGAACACTTTCTCAGCCACATTCTCTCTCAACATTTCTAGTTTTGAAGAACCATCATGTCCCAGCCGTTGATGCCATCGGTCACTGTCATCATCATCAAAAACTTTACAACCATTCTTAGTAAACAAAACGCTTATACCACGATCAGCACACCGACTTACAGATAACTAGGTTTTGGCTCAATGCACAAATAGCATACGCTATCTCATCTTACCATTAACATCAGCATTCTATTCTACACATCAAGATCAAGGGTTTAAAAATCAGTCTGGCTTCTAGCATACATACAAAATGATTCCTATGAGGTTTGAAATGTTATTAAATATATTAACACAGAGCCTTCAGCTTCAGATGATAACAGCTTTCAAAATTAACGTAAATGTGGCATCCTATTTTGAAAGAAGTTCTCGTCAGCATCTTATGATGATGTGTGTTCTCCCTGTTGACAAAAGAAATAAAAGTGACATTATTAAGACAACCCAAAATAGACCATTTCAGGTGCTAAACTATAAAATGCAACATTTTCAAAAAAGAATTTGTTCTTTCTCTTTCATAGATATTGGCGGCCTGAGACATCTATCTGACAATCCAAAGGAAAAAGAAATGTCTGAGGTATGTATCGTCTATGAGATTAATTGACAGCTTGTATTCATGTCAATGAGTAACAAAAGAGTATTTCATCACAGGCCCAGCATGATGCAGATATTAAAGAGGAGCATGCATACCGCTGCCACAAACCAGATTATAATATGGATGTATGTACAAACAAGTCATTCATTGTTAATCAAGTAAATAAAAACCATATGATCTAAGTTCAGCAATCTAAGTGATTTTACATGAAATACTTTACTGTTGTCTTCTAGGTTGATGAGGCCGACGTGAAGCAGATAATAAAAATTGAGAGTGATGCAGCTGCCTCACCCCAGCAGGTACACAGAGCGAAGCAATGTGATCAGCACTTGTCGAAAAAGATGAACACAAGAAAAGTCATGGCGATTGCAAAAGCTTATGCCGCTTTAGATCGTGAAAATTATGTTCGACACCCACTGTCACTGAGTCACTTTAATGGACCAACTGTATTATTATCATGCCCTCAATGCTTGATCCCTACTGTGTGTAAACGCTCAGCACTTCTAGAACTATTGCTACACATATCGAAATGCCACAGAAAAGTGTCTGCTGAGGTCGAAGCTTCCGTAATTTCCAAGTACTACTATTTTATCCAGTACATGGAAAAGGTGACACAGAGATGCAGTTCTCAGGAATATGTTCTAAAGTTAAGGGGTCATCGTTCAATGCAGTAACCCAACAATGATACAGGGTTAGCTGTACTGAAGAATCTCATCTTGTAATTGTATTTCTGGTGTGAATTTTTTGCTGATTAAAACTAAGACCATGAATTATCTTAACAAGACTGATCTTTGATTCTTAGTAACAAAAATTAGGGCCAAAACAGATCTAAGAAAGATAAAGCTTTTCACACTTAAACAGCTTTCTTAAAATACTGTTTGTCAATACAAAATTTACAACTAACATTATCATGCAAGTGCCACTTTGGATTTACTGATGCTTTAAAAACTATGTAGCTGCATGACTAATAATCTGCAGAAGTGGAAGTAAAGCACCACAAGGTCATCAAATTGACATGTTTAGAAAGTGAAGGAGTCTGTCACTGTTTTCCCTTTCCTTGCTCACATCCAGGTAGTACTTACAAATTAACAGAAGTTACAATTCATGGCCCATCCAGTTTCTACAGCATTCAATTAACACCATATCTGCAGGAGCAAATGACATTAATTAATACATCAATATAACACCGTGTATAACTCTCATCTGAAACCATATACAAAACCATACCTATGAGTCTTTAGTGTCCGAACTCTTTCTCTTCTTAGCTGCAAACATTAATGAAACCTTCAGTAAGAGGTTTTCGCTTCGGAGAACAGGTCCGTGACATGACCGAACATGTCTGATCATATCCTTTTTGTTGAGAGCTTGAGTACTTTCGGAAATGGTGCAGGTACACGCTGACACTGGACAATGATACGTCAGGACAGGGCCTTCTGGTTGTTGGACATGACACTCTGACAATGTAGCTTCTGGTAGTTGTGGAGCCTGAAAGGAAGTGATACGGTTATACTTTGCTCTTCGATCAATGTAAAAATCCTTCAAGACAGAAATATTCTATATCACTTACAATATGACCTTTTTTTTTTATTTGATGGTGAAGCAGCTGCATACCATTAAGTGCATCCTGTGTCATTACAACTTTTCGTAAAATAATCGAAATAAAAAAATATTTCGAGAATTTTTTTTTGTAATAAATCTGCATTTTTCGCCACCTTTGGTGAAATTTTCAAGCATTTGCCAACACCCTCCGCCGAAGATCCGCCACGCGTCGACCCAGTCCACGACGGACCACCAGTCCTGGAGCCACAGGAAGGACCCCCAGGCATGGCGCCCGCCGACGGACCGCAAATGGACCCCCCCTCCGCCGAAGATCCGCCACGCGTCCACCAGCAAGGCCCGCCATTTGACCCCCAGGACCTCGTCAGCAGTGAGGAAACACTGAATAGTTTACCCTGACCCAAATGAAATTTCCCTGACTTTTCTCCGACTTCCAGACAACTTTTTAAACGGACCCGTTTCTGCCAGACAGTTGGGGCGCGCGGGGGGGAGGGCCGGGAGGGCGTCATGGTTCAACACCACCTGTTGAGCAGCTCCACACCCACGCCCGGGTACCAGAGCAACAATGGACACCTTGCTCTCTGAGAAGTCAGCCCCCCGCGCGCGCTGCCCAGCGCTCATGCCAAAAATTGTGTTCAATTATAAAAGTAATGATTAATATGCTAATTCAAAAAAATATCACGCAAAAAGACACATCAAGAACAAAGAACAATGCAGCGAGCAGGCATGAAATGCCTACATGGCGTCCAAAAGCAGATTGCACAAGTGAGAGGGTGCTATGACGCGGCGCAAACTTCTATATTCAAAAAATATTGCTCGAAACTATAAACTAGAAAATTTTCTTAACTAAGGGTCCGTTTATGGTTAACAAGAATTGTTAACGTTTTTTTTCTCCCTGACTTTTCCCTGACCGGTATGAGCCCTGCCTCTGACAATGGTCGGAACATGCTGCTGGCTGCCGATTTACTTCGGAAAGGCAAAGAGGAGCAGACCGCCATTGATGAGGAACAAGAAGAACTTGATTTGTATGTTGGGCGGCTAGGTGTCAAACTTGACAGCGTCAAGTGTGCTGCACACACCGTTCAACTGTCAATAGTGTATTTCACCTGACGCAGCCCGGATTCAAAAAAGAACAAGAGTTCTTCCCGAACTCTTTCCTCCCTTGCTCTGATTGGCTGACGCCGACGAAGTTCATGAACTGCCCGCAAGGGTCGACCCTTAGTGTCGGGTCCGAGAACTTCGTTGACATCGTCCAATGAGCGCCAAGGAGGGAAGAGTTCAGGAAGAACTCTTGTTTTTCTTTGGATCCGGTTTGCGTCAGGTGAAATCCCCTATTACGTCTTGATGATTGTATCAAAATAGTTGCAAGTGTTAGTAGCTTACTTGCAAAATGCAGATATTGTGAAGAAATTGACAGCTGAGACTTACAGACAAAAATTGAAGGAAGTTTACCTTGCAATTCCAGTCCGATAATGACACCATGAGACATGGGGGCCCTGGAGTCCAAGCATGACATGAGAAGCTCCACGTTGCCCCCCCCCCCCCCTTCTTAACTCAGGGGTTCGTTTCGCAGTTTACACGAAGTTTTAAAGTTTTTCAAGGAATTGCCAATCATTGTAGTTCTTGTGGTGTTCTAAAGCATAGAAAATGTCACTGCATATCTTTTTATCATAAATAAAAGAAACCAAAGTTTCAGCTAGGTTATCACGACTAGGCACATTTTGCAACGCTACATATGAGCCAATTATCGAGAAAGAAAAAAAAAAACAATGGAAACTAAGCAGTGTCACTCTTTACCTGTTGAGTTTACGTGGACAGCCTTTGTTTGCCCGGGGAATCTCCCATTAAACGATCACAGTATCTTTCGTTGCCGGAAAAGGTGTGTCCCCGTGGCAAGTCGAGCGTGTGTCGTTCGCAACTGAATGTCAAGACGATGAGGGCGTTTCCTGAACATGTCGCTTCATAAACGAAGTAGTGATGTCTGCAGAGAGTCAGTCTACCGTGGACATGAAAGTTGCCGTGGCTTTCTGCGTAGTGCTTGGTGAGCCTTTAACCCCGGTGATGATGATGAACTAACTAGGCCGACCCCTCTGCCACATGGCGCCAAAAATTAGTTGGATCAGCGGCGTTCGTACAAGCCGTTAGAGGTGAAGGCAACCTAATTGCTACACTGTAATTTGGGGTGTTTCAAATGTATACGCTAAAGGGCGTTTGCTACAGGATCCCGAGCAACATTTGGCGTAAACTTTTGAGACATCTTTTAGCGTATAGATTCTTGACACCTTTGCCCATACCATTTCCACAGCACAGCAGACACCCTTTGACACATAAATTCTGAAAGGTGCTATTTACAACAGGACCGTAACTTTTATTTAGCTGCCTTTAACGTTATTTTTAGAGTTTAAGTAAAAACTTGTAACTTTTACTTTAGACCTTTGGAAACAAGTACGGTTGTTATCGGACATATTTCAAAAGCGATAACTTGGACTTTTAATTTGACATCTGTCTGGTTACGTTGAGTAAATAACACTCGTTCGTGTTATGGTAAGTTAGAGAGCCCTGATTTAAGAAGCATTTGGATAGTACTTGTTAACTTTTTGGCTGAGCGATTAGCGAAGCCTATTACTCCGTCTGGTCGGAAAAAACTTTT